TAATTACACTTGAGTTTTGTAGGAAATTAGTTAGTGAATAGGCAAAAATGTGCGCCCCTAGTCTCCGGCCGTTCTGAGCGTGTGAGTATGTTAAAGAGTAACTTTGTGTTGTTGTATTCTATTAATTCTGCCAAATAATTCTGCCCTGCTGGAATCAACTGAGTCTTGTGGATACACGATAATAAATAGTACTTGAAAAAGGGTATTATGATATATTTTAGAATTGTGAAATAATATGATACAAAGAGGTCTCTATTTATAGAGACCAAAAAACCCTAATTCTTGACCTAATGGGCTTGGCCCAATACAACAAATACTAATAATAATAAAAGACCTAATATTTACAACACTCCCCCTCAAGCTGAGGAATAGATATTTATCATTCCCAGCTTGCTAGTAAATTCTTGAAATCTATCTGAAGGAAGTCCCTTTGTCAATAGATCAGCTAATTGACGCCCAGTGGGAATGTATGGAGTGGTAATCAACCCGCTATCAAGTTTCTCTTTGATGAAATGGCGGTCGACCTCAATATGTTTAGTCCGATCATGTTGAACTGGATTATGAGCTATACAAATAGCGGACTTATTATCACATAGCAGCTTCATAGGTCCCTCACATTTTATTTTGAGATCATCAAGTACAATTTTCAGCCACAGTAACTCACAAATGCCTTGAGCCATAGCTCGAAATTCAGCTTCTGCACTTGATCTGGCAACCACATCTTGTTTCTTACTTCTCCATGTCACCAAGTTACCGCAAAGAAACATGCAATAACCAGTGGTAGAACGACGGTCAGTCACGGATCCAGCATAATCAGCATCAGTGTAGACTTCTAAAGAGAGATTACCATCACGTCGGAATAACAATCCTTTACCAGGAGTAGCTTTAAGATACTGAAGAATTCTCTCTACTGCCTGCATGTGTTTCTCCTTTGGATCGTGCATAAACTGACTGACAACACTAACAGCATAAGCTAGGTCTGGCCTAGTATGGGCCAGATATATCAATTTTCCAACTAGCCGTTGATATTGTCCTTTATCAACTGGAGGACTCTTCTCTTCAAAGCCTATCTTGTGATTCTGCTCAATAGGAGTATTAGAGGGTTTACACCCGAGCTTCCCTGCTTCTTTGAGAAGATCCAAAACATATTTCCTCTGACTGATAAAAATTCCTTTGCTTGAATGAGCTACTTCTATCCCTAGGAAATATCTTAGTTTCCCAAGGTCTTTGACTTCGAACTCAGAGGCAAGTCGTGTCTGCAGAATCTGTCTCTCCACAAAATCATCACCTGTGATAATAATATCATAAACATATACAAGGAGCACAGTAAGCTTCCCATTTTGGGAGTGCTTGAAGAAAAGAGTGTGATCTCCTTGACTCTGTCTATATCCTAAGGTCATCATAACCTTAGTAAACCTTCCAAACCAAGCACGAGGTGACTGTTTCAATCCATACAAGGCCTTTTTTAATCGACAAACTTTATTTTCCCCCTTCACAGAATCAAAACCAGGCGGGATTTCCATGTAGACTTCTTCTTCTAACTCACCATTGAGGAAAGCATTTTTCACATCAAATTGATTTATATCCCAATTGTAATGGGCAGCAAGGGACAACAAGATTCTCACTGTATTCATCTTTGCAACTGGAGCAAAGGTTTCTTCATAATCAATGCCATAGGTTTGAGTGTAACCTTTGGCGACTAATCGAGCCTTGTATCTCTCAAGAGTGCCATCAGAATTATATTTCAGGGCATAAACCCATCTGCACCCTACTGCTTTCTTTCCGTTGGGTCTATCAATAACCTCCCATGTTTTATTTTTCTCCAACGCATTCATCTCCTCTTGCATGGCTTGAGCCCAATTCCCATCTTTCAAAGCTTCATGTACTGATTTTGGGATTGAAGTAGAATCTAGTGCTGAAACAAAGCTTTTGTGCTGCACAGAAAGATTAGCAGAGGAAACAAAATGGGAGATAGGGTATTGAGTACAAGAGGGACAGGAAGAACAAGTTTTCTTGGAACAAGATCTTTTTCCTTTTCTTAAAGCAATGGGTAAATCATCTGAAGCAGTAGTAATGGGTAAGTCATCAGAAACAGTAGTAATGGGTAAGTCATCAGACGTATTAACATCATGATCAGAAATATGAGATTCAGGACTTACCAGTGGTTCAGACGATTGAGGTTGCTGTTGAGGCAATGTGGGCTGTTTCCTTCTTTGATATACCAATTCAGGTGTTACAATCTTCCGTATCTCTGGTGTATTTGATGTATCAGTCATAGGAGGATCAGTCACAGGAGGATCAGACATAGACACATTAGGAACAGGAACAAGAGGAAGAGACACTGACACAGGTGAAGAAGTAGACACTGAAGATTCAAAGAAGGAAGGTGATGAGTCTTCTGGTGAATTATTCTCCCCCTGAAGATGAGGACCTTGGAAAAAGGACTCAGATTCCTGAAATGTAACATCCATAGAAACAAAAAATTTCCGACTTCCAGGGTGATAGCACTTGTAGCCCTTCTTATCAGGAGCATAACCAAGGAAGACACATTTAAGAGCCCTAGGATCCAACTTACTGCGATGCTGTTTATGAATATGAACAAAGACAACACACCCAAACACTCGAGGAGGAAGACTTTGCAAAGTTGGAACAGAAGGAAAAAAAGAAGTCATGGAGTGAATAGGACTTACATGATCGAGAACCCGAGTGGGTAGACGATTGATTAAGAACGCTGCAGTAAGAATGGCATCTCCCCAATAGCATTTGGGTACATGTGTTTGAAACAGTAAGGCACGAGCAACTTCAAGAAGGTGACGATTTTTCCTTTCAGCAACCCCATTTTGTTGAGGGGTGTCTACACAAGTAAGTTCATGAATCATACCTTGATTTTGTATAAATTGGGAAAAAGAGTGATTGACATATTCAGTACCATTATCTGTCCTTAGTCTTTTGATATTTTTACAAAATTGAGTCTCAATCATTTTATAAAATTGAAAGAACAGTTGTGGTACCTCAGACTTTTCACGCATTAAGTAAACCCAAGTGACACGAGTGTAATCATCAATAAAAGAAACAAACCATTTATTTCCAGAAGAATGAGGGACCTTAGAAGGACCCCAAACATCAGAATGAATAAGATCAAAAGGTTCAACACTCTTAGTAATACTAGAAGGAAAAGACACACGATGATGCTTAGCAAATTCACAAACATCACAATGAAAAGACTCAACAGACTTAGACAAAAACAATGACGGGAATAAAGATTTGAGTAAACTAAATGGAGGATGACCCAAACGCTTATGATGCAGCCAAATTAAAGAATCAGCAGTTGATTGACCATGAGACATGAATGTGTGATCTATTACTTTATTTGCGGGAGATTGTGACACCAGATAGTACAGCCCACCTTGCTCTTTAGCACTACCAATCGTCTTCCCTGTGGCGAGATCCTGAAAAACACAATGGGTAGGGAAGAAGGTTACAGTACAATTCAAATCTTTTGTAATTTTGTGAATAGAAAGAAGATTTGTGGAGAGTTTAGGAACATGAAGAACATCCTTAAGATGTAAGGACTGCTGTAAGTTTATGTCACCAGAACCCGCAACTGATGTATGTGAGCCATCAGCTATGGATATTGTATGAGTTCCAATGGTAGGATGATAAGAAATAAAGGAGTCAGCACAACAAGCCATATGATCAGTAGCACCAGAATCAACAACCCAAGAATGTTTAAAATCATTACATGAAGAAATGAAAGAATGAGTTTTGGAGCTCATACCAGTCATAGCCAAAGCACTAGTATCAGATGGCTTACTCAGATAATCAAGAATGGTTCGGAGTCGTTCCAACTCATCTGGACGAAATGCAGATTGGGTCTCATTAGGTGCAGGGGTTATTTCAGAAGAAGTAAAATGCGCTTGACCACGCATCCTTGCCATCTTTTCTAAGACAGTTTGCTTTCCATAAAGGCGAAAGCATAAATCCTTGATATGACCTGTTCTTTTACAATAAGAACACCATCGATCATTTCTCTTAGGTCTAGAAGAGGTACTATCATAAAATTTTGAAAAAGAACTCCTTTGAGAAGAGGCCATACTGCACAACAAATAGTCAAAGAAAAGCTCCAAGAAGCCACAAAATCACAAACAAATACTAAACAACGTCAGATCTGACCGGAACAGTAACACAGCGGCCGAAACAGTAACACAGTGACCGGAACAAATACCAAACAACGTCAGATCTGGTCGGAGGCAAGAAATTGGTGAAAGAACAAACTCCAAGAAGCCAAGAAATTCTGAAAAAAATACCGAACGATGTCCGATCAAAGTAGAGAGCACAGATCCAGAACCGGCTTGGAGAGACGATCAGAACCGTGGTGGTCCGCGGCCGAGAACCACCGTCACGCGCTGTCACGCGCCGGTGAAGCTGGCGGCGCGTGGGATTCACGCGCAGAGACAAGGGCGGCGCGTGGAGGCGCGTCTGACCTCCGATGGTGCTGGGTTTTTCAGGCGAAGGTCGTCCGGCGAGCGCGATGGTTTCTGTGGCTGTTCGGAGTGAAGAATCCACCGGAAAAAGGTTCCAATCACGATGAACAGGTTCTGTACGGTGGTTCTGTACGTTGATTCTGTGAACGTTTGTTTCTGGTTGTGTAATAGACAAGAAAAAGAAAGAGGAACAGTGAAGCAATGGTCTTCTCGGTCCAAGAGGTCCCCGAAAAAAAAATTCCGGTGGCGGCTGATGGCAGCGAGAGACGTAAAAAAGAATAGAAAGGTTTCGTAGGCGCGGAAGCAGAGCCCTCTGGATCGAGAGCTCTGATACCAACTTGAAAAAGGGTATTCTAATATATTATAGAATTGTGTATTAATATGATACAAAGAGGTCTCTATTTATAGAGACCAAAAACCCTAATTCTTGACCTAATGGGCTTGGCCCAATACAACAAATAATAATAATAATAATAATAAAAGGCCTAATATTTACAACAAACATCAATATCATCTTTAATTCCCAACTAGTTGGAATTGGCAGTCAATGAACAATATAAAAGCAAGAACATACTAAGGCAAAATAAATAATAAATAAGAAAAATTAATAAATATATATATAAAATAAATTGTTGCTCAATTAGGAGAATATTCTCACATTGTTTCGGTGTGACACCAGAGTGGGAGATTTTTTTCAGCTGTGTATATGCTGCCTTACAAAAAATTGTATATCTGAAAATATGTATATAAGCAAGTGTGAAAGTGAAGATAATCAGACAGCATAAATAGTATGGTTTATGGAAGACATATGAATGGCATAATACATTATCCCACTTGTTCCTCCCATAGATCGTCCAATTGACGATCCAATTTCACAAACAGTCTCTGCAGCATCATTCAGAGGATAACTGAAAAACAATAAACGGGAGTTCAGACCAGACTATGATTACAATTTAAATTGACAATGGAGCTGATTTGCAGTTTCTCAAGGGCACAAAAAAGACTAAAACAACATATATCAACAGCCAATTAGTCCAATATATGAGCAATAACTGGTCATCATTGTGCCTCCACAAAAGTGTACAAGAGTAAATATTATGTAAAGAACCTTGGAATACACCACCCCAAAAGCTAGCTCAAAGGGTGGGAGTGCTCAAGGCCTTATAAACTCCACATTAGTTGCTCTTCAACCAATGTGGGACTATATATCTCAACATGCCCCCTCACGCAAGAGCCCTCTTGGCTTGAAGCGTGGATTATGCAACAGGCTCAATCTTTGGTTTACCTTTTTTGTGCTTCCACTTTAAAGTGGGGGGCCGTGAGGATCGAACCTCAAGCTCTGATACCATGTAAAGAACCTTGGGATACTCAAGGTTCTTTACATGGTATCAGAGCCTCACCGTCCCTCACTTTAAAGTGGAATTAAAACAAAAAAGCACAAAAGGTAAACCAAAAATTGGGCCTGTGCATAATCCACGCTTCAAGCCCAAAGGGCTCTTGTGTGAGGGGGCGTGTTGAGATATATAGTCCCACATTGGTTGTATGTGCAACTAATGTGGCCTTTATAAGGCCTTGGGCACTCTCACCCTTTGAGCTAACTTTTGGGGTGGTGTATCCCAAGGTTCTTTACATGGTATCAAAGCCTCACCGTCCCTCACTTTAAAGTGGAATTAAAAACAAAAAGCACAAAAGGTAAACTAAAAATTGGGCCTGTAAAATTTCACGCTTCTAGCCTAAAGGGCTCTTGCGTGAGGGGGCGTGTTGAGATATATAGTCCCACATTGATTGGATGGGCAACTAATATGGCCTTGGGACTATATATCAAAGGGTGGGAGTGCCCAAGGCCTTATAAAGGTCATATTAGTTGCCCATCCAATCAATGTGGGACTATATATCTCAACACGCCCCCTCACGCAAGAGCCCTTTAGGCTAGAAGGGTAGAAATTGCACAGGCCCATTTTTGGTTTACCTTTTTGTGCTTTTTTATTTTATTTTAATTCCACTTTTTAAAGCGGGGGACAGTGAGGCTCTGATACTATGTTAAGAACCTTGAGGTATACCATGTTAAGAACCTTGAGGTCACCACCCCAAAAGCTAGCTCAAAGGGTGGGAGTGCCCAAGGCCTTATAAACTCCACATTAGTTGCTCTTCAACCAATGTGGGACTATATATCTCAACATATTAGCACGCCTATAATTCATGATTTTATTTATCATCACATAAGCACCAAAGATATTTATTTTCAAGTGCTTTCTCTTTAACTTTTTCCCCATTCTTAAGATCAGCGATTTGAAAACCAAACTGCACAGGCTAGTTGGACTGGTCAAAACCATGAGCTAATCCATTAATAAAGACTAATGAGACTCTTTCTCTTTATTGGGTGAAACAGCACAAACAACGAGAGTAAGAAAATGAAACAAGCCAATAGATAAATACACAACAGAATAGCAGATCATTCATGCTCCATGATGTCAGTTTCAACTCCATGGAAAGATGACTTTGCTCAGACAATAAATGTTTCTAGAAAAAAATTTCAACTAGCAATTTTTTAAATAATTCCTACTTAAAAGATATACTTTCAATAAAGCATTACAGCTTATTGAAATAGATGCCCAAGTCATTTCGAAATGGATGATTGAAGTGTTAAAGGTGAAATTAGGTAATGCAATTATTACAAAAATGATTGGTAGGAAATTCTGAGATGTAATCAAGATAAAAGCTTTTGTAACTTATCATTATCAGGTCATGAAAGTTTACTAGTGCACTTTTCTGAAAGGGGTTTTACAATAGTCAGGAAATCCAACAAAAAATGAATAAGCATACTTTGCAATAACATACGTGCACTCTTGCAGATAGCCCACAATGTTTTATGTTACCCTCAGCAAGATGGAGCACAAACTTACTTTTTTATGTCCTCGAGAATTGCTTTTGCACCTCTACACATCTGCAAAAGTAAACCAGATGTAGTAAGTCAAGCACTCAATACATCAACAATTACAATTTTGAGGATAGGACTCACAGTTGACCCGCAGTCACCATCACCAACTTTGCTATCCCATTCATTTAGATTGTCCTTAAGATTTATAATTGCATTTGTGGCAGCTTCTATGGCTTCCTTAAAAACTTGGCCTTGCTCATTTAGTTGAAGTGACCGACTCCGCGGCTTATGTAAAGCAAATATAGAAACCAGATTTCACAAATTGTCAATACAAAATATTATTAAAAAAATAATAAAAGAAAAAAGCGGATAACAAAGTAGTTTATTTCCCTCTAGCCTCTAGAATAAACATGTTAACACTTTACAGTCTTTACATTTAAGCATCACAAAACAGTTAATAATCATTATTACAAACAAAATTAAAAGTAGCCAAAAATGGACAAGAACTCTTACATAAATATGCACACAAATAAGAGATAGAAAGATAAATTCTGAAAAAGGACACGCAATTTACAAAGAGACATGAAGGAAAAAAATTTACTGAGGGGAGGGGGGTTAACTTAATACTAAGGAAGATAACTGGCCTGATATAGAATAAAAGTCACTATAAATTCAATTAAACTGATAATTTGATTGGATGCAGTCCTGATTCTTTACAATTTTGATATTTCACTTTTATTATGATTTGCTTAAGTAAATGCATATACAATAAACAAAATCCATCTCTAATACCAATTGATAATCTTCACACGAGTTCCTAAAAAAATATAAGAATTCACTCCAGGTTTTAGATACATTTTATGAATATGGAAGAGGAAGATAAGGTTAATAACATATATTTGAGGACGATGCCAGTGAAACTCCAGATCCAGATGGCTACAAATGTGAAACCAGTGACCAGATGCTGGTGAGGGGCTTCTGGCAACAAGCACATCAATAGCTGGTGTAAAGGGAAGGGCTTTAAATGGTTGAAGTTGAACTATTGCACTAATATCAAGAACATTTCTTAAAACAAGATTAAGGAAATTTGAGGTCAACACTATTTTCTATAAACCAGTTGGAGAACAAAGGTAACTGGAAACAACATCAGATAAGACAAAATTAATGAAATAAGACAATATAAACATGAAATACTGCTATACATAATTTTTCTCTCTTTCGACATGGTTATGAGCTAGAAATGTCTTATTACATAAGTTCTACTTCAATGAGGTATGCATTTAAGAAGAATTATAAAGGTTCTGTAAATTTTTATATGAAAGAAATTATTAGGCCAGTAGGGGTCAAAGAGCAGCAAACCTTGGTAATCCAACAAAGCTTGTAACAAACACACAAATCAAATACTAGTCAAAATTTCACCACAAAAAATTTAGTTGGATGATGCATACATATCTAATTTTAATTAAGAATTTCATATGATCTTCTTCATATGTTTGTGATTAAATATAATTTTGTTCTTAAATATTTTCTAGACAGTAGTTATTACAAATGTCAGAGAAGGAAAATAACACACTTTCCACGGATGTACCTCTTCTCTCTTTGCTGACTGAGATGGTGGAACTGGAACAGGAATCTTAGCAGGTGGGTGATTACCTGTAAGCAAACTTCAAAAGTTCAATGGATGTTTAATTTCATTAATTTTGCCTCCTTCTATGTTAAAGTTGACATGTATTTTTAAAGAGGTCAAAGTCGTGTTGGTACTAGAACAATACAGATCAGCCACATATAATAATAATGACATTGTAAAGTCTCCGTTAAATGAATTTAACCAAAGGAAACAACCAGAGTAATTACTAACCATCTACAGCAACAGGCCAATAAGGAGCTTTAGTTGCAGCATCTAATCGTTGAAGAATAGATGCATCAGCCTTCATGATAGAAATTGAGAAACCTAAAGTAACACAAATGCTAATCAGAACTGTTTAATGAATCACAAAGAAATGCCAATAGATCATTATCTGCGGTAACAAACCTGCCATGTCAAGAGAAGTAATAAATGACCCTGTATAAACCCTATCAACAGCAAGTCCATGCTCCAGCTGCAATTTTGGGACTGCTTTTCCTGCTACAATCATTAGTTCCATTACAGGGGTGCCGCCTAACCTGCATTTGAAGAATCTCAGTTAAGGTAAATAAAGCCTCTCCTTAAAGCCAATTTTTCTGCTGTAAAGAAATCCCAAACATTAATAAAAGTATGGTCTAATGTAACATTTGAACTTGTTACGACTGGCATCCGCAATAGGGGTCAGCCCTCTACTTGGAGAGTCTATTCTAGAAGGAAAAAGAATGTACCAGTGAGTTAGTTACAAAGTTACTTACGGAGCAGTGAGTATAAATAGAGAGGAGAACAATTGTAAAGATACTTAGTGACTTTGTTAGTTAGAAATAAGGCTGAGGTGAGGCTCAGTTTCCGGGAACCATTACCGGTAGGAGGCTAAACTCTTGTACCTGCTTTGTCTTCTTGATCAATAAAGATTTCCAGAATAGTTTCTTTTCTTCTGTTTCTCTTTTCCCTAATCAGAGCCTAACAGAACTTCACTGAGAGTTTGGAATAACTAAAAAGTTATTTATTTAAAAAAAAATAGTAGTAGGACTCGTCGAAAAAATATTTATGACTTTGTGGTCATGAATCATGATTACATGTGAACTCACTTCTCAGAAATAACTTCACTTAGTTCATAGTCACACTGATGAGAAAGGAAGTATAGAGGCTTGAACTCCTGTAGTAAAAAAAAGGTACACTTAAAACAGTAAGTCGTTAAAAAGTGTATTTAGCTAAAACAAATCGCTGATGTGCACACTCATATTCACACAAGCAACATATCCACTCATTTTATTAGCCACTAGATATATATTAATTAAAAAAATCTAAAACAAAAGGGCCAAAACCACATAATTCTTGATAGCCATATAAGCCATTTGCATAATTAAAACTTATTGCAAGCTAAATAAAAGTAGATATATCTTCGAAAATATAAAAATATATATTTTTTAAAATATATCGACTTTTATTAGGCTGCAATTTAAATTTAAATTTAAATTTTGCAAATGGTTATATGGCTATCAAAAAATATTTTCGAAAATATCAAAAAAATAAATAAATAAACAAAGTAGGTTTCCTCTAAGGTTTTGCATTGAGTCTTAATCTTTTTGTCCTAGTTATGATGAGCAAATAAAAGATATCTAAGACGAGGCACTATGGTGTATGCTATTTGCAAATGATATTGTGCTTATTGATGAGATTAAGGTTGATGTTAATCCTAAACTAAAATTATGGAAAAGCATGTTGGAGTCCAAAGGATCAATGTTAAGCAGGAATAAGGTTGAATAAATGAAGGGTGAGTTCATCAGGACAAGATAAGTGAATATGCTACGACAAAAGGTACCCAAGAAAGATGCATTTAGTATGTGAGATCAATCTTGCAAAAGATGGGAGAGATTGATGAGGATGTAAACTATATAATCAAAGTAGATTGGATGAAATGACTTAGTGCATTAGAATTTTTGTGTGATCGTAAAATCTCTTTTAGGCTAAAAGGAGAATTTTATAGAGCAACAATAAGGCTTGTAATGCTATATGGAGCTGGATATTGACTAGGAAGAAAACAATATGAGCATAAAATGGGAGTAGCAGAAGTGAGGATGATAAGCTGGAAATCTGATAATAGAAGATTGGATAAAATATGAAATGAAGACATCCGACAAATAGTTAGATTAGTTCCATGGAAGAAAAAATGAGAGAATATAGATTGAGAAGATATGGGCATGTCTTTGTAGACCCTTAGATGCTCCGGTAAAAAAAAAAAGAAGTTTGTTACTGAGAGCATGAAATAAAGAAAGAGGTTGACCGACATTTATGTGGGGGAAAATAGTCAAACAAGACTTAATGTAGTGAGAAATACATTGGGTTTGTCTTAGGAAAAAGTGGAGGAAAGATATTAGCATTGTGAATGAGTATAATTGGTGCTTTTAACTTTTCTTTTTCTCCGCTCTCTGTTTTTCTCTCTGACAAAAAATAATAATTTACTTTTTCAATTTTTCTATGTTTTTGTTTATCAATTTATTTATTTTATTGTTTATTATTTATATTTATTATTTATTATTTATTTTTCCTTATTTTTTTTCTTGCTTTTATATGGTTTTATCGAACCTCAATTACTTTGGGATAAAGGTGGTGATGATATTGATAAAGTTAAAAAAAAAGAAGTCAAAAGTCAAAAAACAATTTTGAAAAAGCCTCGTCAACAATATTGATGTTTAACTTCTTTTTCCAATGTTATGTCATCACAAGATCTATGAAGCTCACTGTAATCAAACATGCAGACACATACTCAAGTGAATATTTTTGTAAAATGGTGCCTATGATTCAAATATTATTTATGAAGAAATTTCGGAGCTATCCTAAATTGCAAAGAGATAAATTTGGTTATCAAGCAAAGACAATATTAATGAACCTACCCATTGACCATGAGGACCACTCTACAACCTCGTGTTATTGGAACATAGTTTGTTTCCTGCAAACATTACCAAAAGAAAAATCATTGTAACTTTGACTAGAAATAAAAGGCTTCATTGTGAAATTGTATGCAAAAAGGGATACAAAAACATAGGTATGTACTTTAACAAAACCACTCACATAGAAGCAAGAAAGTATAACATTGTGATAATCAAATGCAATATTCAAGTTTTTCCCTCTATATTTTCTTGATATCTCTCCTATCTATTCTTATTAATAGAAAGGGGCAACCTGGTGCTATAAAACTCTCGCTCTGCGCAGAGTCTATGTAACGCTCGGCCACTTGCAAGAATCAATGACTGTCCCCACACACTAACACGAGACTTTTCAGTGTGCTTTGTCCTCACTCACACACTTCCCGGGAAAACTTCTCAGGAGGTCACCCATCCCAGAATTGCTCCAAGTCAAGCACGCTTAACTGTGGAGTTCTTCCGATCCGGGCTACCGAAAAGTAGATGCATCTTGTTAGTATAGATAGTACCAATTAATTCTTATAAGTCATTCCTAACTGTACCGTCTCATACCAGCACAGTCGCTAGAATCCCTCTCTTTCGAGTGTTGATTCGATTCATTCATGAACCCCCAAGTTGCAAGATTTGGCATGAGCCGCTCATTGTCCGTGCCCTTTCGCACCGGCGATGACTCCCTGCCTTTGCCAGCTCTTGGGATGTTACATGCCCACCAGCTTCGGCCTGGTTCGTCCTCCAACCACACCGTACTGGAAGAGAGGCCCTGCTCTGATACCACTTGTAACGCCTGACAACTTGCAAGAATCAATGACTGTCCCCACACACTAACACGAGACTTTTCAGTGTGCTTTGTCCTCACTCGCATACTTCCCGGGAAAACTTCCCAAGAGGTCACCCATCCCAGAATTGCTCCAAGTCAAGCACGCTTAACTGTGGAGTTCTTCCGATCCGGGCTACCGAAAAGTAGATGCATCTTGTTAGTATAGGTAGTACCAATTAATTCTTATAAGTCATTCCTAACTGTATCGTCCCATACCAGCACAGTCTCTAGAATCCCTCTCTTTCGGGTGTTGATTCGATTCATTCATGAACCCCCAAGCGGCAAGATTTGGCATGAGCCGCTCATTGTCCGTGCCCTTTCGCACCGGCGATCACTCCCTGCCCTTGCCAACTCTTGGGATGTTACATGGATGTAATGTCCCACATCGGTTGGAGAGGGGAACGAAGCATGCCTTATAAGGGTGTGGATACCTCTTCTAGTGTGAGGCCTTTTGTGGGGTGTCCCAAGAAACAAAACCGTGAGCTCGACGGTGCTTGTGCGCGGGGCAAAGCGGACAATATCATGCTACAGGGTTTGGGGCTGTTACATATGGTATCAGAGCCTGGCCCTGGACCGGTGTGTACAGCGGGGACGCTGTATTCCCAGTGGGGGAGGATGTAATGTCCCACATCGGTTGGAGAGGGGAACGAAGCATGCCTTATAAGGGTGTGGATACCTCTTCTAGTGTGAGGCCTTTTGTGGGGTGTCCCAAGAAACAAAACCGTGAGCTCGACGGTGCTTGTGCGCGGGGCAAAGCGGACAATATCATGCTACAGGGTTTGGGGCTGTTACAGTTTAGGGAAGGGCTATGACCTCTAGGACACATGGCAACAACACTAACGATTGTGCCAAGGCTCTCCTTCCTATTTATACTTATTAATATTGATATAACATAGCAAGAGTGGGTTTGGTTTCTTTGGAATCTCCAAGATATAAACATTAACCTTAAAAAATAGGAGTTGAGGTTAGTACCCCGTTATTTGAAATGTAAAAGAAAAATCATCGACTCTCTGTATTCTTTAAATAAGAATAAAATAAAAACCCGGCTGAAATTCACTCCAGGCCTAGACTGTGAAAAATAAAACAAGAGAATACATACATAGACAAGAAGAAAATAAATATTCAAAGTAAGTACCAGAGTTCCAAAGACAAGAATATAGATATACTGCCATTAAACCATACAAGGAGATAATAGAAAAGGAAATCTTCTAAATCAAATGCAGAGGAAAGAAAAAACATAAAAACACACAGAACTCAATACACAAACTTTTCAGTCTCCCGGAATATCAGATGTAGAAACAGCCCCAAAACAGTCATAGGCTGAGCACCAAAAGTCATTATAACACATGCACAAGTAATTTCATTTATCCTTGATGTGGTGACACATTACATGCACTAGGCATTTGTTCCCATCTGTATATCCAATAAATAAATTGAACCAAGCATTTTCCATACAATATTGTGGCATACCGGAGATAATATTTGCTTAAGAACATGAGAAACCACTATGTCTACGGGCTGAAGATCTGCCACAACTGCACCAGGTTCTCCATGCTGCATAAAATTTGGGATTTGATTAAGAAATGAAAGCATTAAGAAGTGAAAATAAACTTCAATCACTACAGAGTTAAATTGCAAATAATATTATTTGTAATTTTTTTCTTATTACGGAATTTATTAATGGTCTTCACCTAATGGCTTAAGCTTTTGAATTAAATTGGTTCTTTACATGATATATCTATGTGACCAAGTGGTCATAAGTTCGATTTTCACCACCCCCATTCTATTAATAAATAATTAAATATTATAGAGTTTCTTAGCATAGGTAGGCGGACCTATGCATTGTCCACCCTTCAAGCCTAATGAGCTCTTATGTGAGAGGGTGTATGATAGGTATCAATAGAACAAATTCAAAGAAACAACTAAACAGAAGCATTTTACTATGAAATCAGAAGTACATTGACAATTACAATAGCAAAAAGAAATACAATGACAATGACAACAATAACTAAGGTTGATTACAGTAACAGGGGACTGAAACAAAACCAAGGGAAATTAAAAAGTTAAACCAGTCCTAGAGCTATTCGAGAGGCCTTAGTCTCTCCCAAGTTCCAGCCTAATATCAGATCCAAAGATGATTCCTTATGCTTCTCATGCCCTCCTCTTATTCAGCTCATTTTCCCGCCTTTTCCTCAACCGTTTTCAGTTGCACATCCCTTCCAAATACTTCCCCTCCTAACAAACCATTAACCAACTGACTTGCTTGAGTCTGGGCCGTATCAATACTTTCCCCCCAAAACAATCACCTTGTCCTCAAGGTGAGTACTAATAACGATAATGTTGCCTCTGGGATCCCATTGCTTGAACTGTAATGATCCATTAAGGTAAGAGCTAGCATAACCTCTACCACCGGGATCCCACTATGTGAAAGGTATATGCCAATGGCTTTCTAAAACTGTAAAGAACCAATTCAACCCAAAAGCTTAAGCTGTTGGGTGAGGCTACATTAATGGTTTTATATATCTCAACACGCCCCCTCACACGAGAGCCCACTAGGATTGAAGGGTGGACAATGTACAAGTCCACCTACCTGTGCGAAGAAAGAGATTTCACTAGAAAGAAAGTGGGGGGCGGTGAGGATCGAACTCGGGACACGAGGCTCTGATACCATGTAAAGAACCAATTCAACCCAAAAGCTTAAGCTGTTGGGTGAGGCTACATTAATGGTTTTATATATCTCAACAAAAACATAAGAGAGCCCACCAGGGTCCCATTCCGCTTCTGCACTTGAACCCTTATCTACCCGTTTGAAACTAGTAACATGAGCTCCGTTTATCAGAATTCCAATAGCAGACAAAACAACCTCATCAAGTTGATGAACAACATTAATAATAGTAGAAAAATGCCTTGTTTTGAATATACCTTTCCTCCAGTTCACATAACTAGGCAGTGAATATTCTTGTGTGCCTTCCATTCTCAAAAAATCAGAATCTTCAACATATAAAATACCCTATTTATCTTCATTAACTATGCGAAACCTATTATGATTTTGTTCCAAGATGTCAAAAGCATAATTCCTACAAAATCCCACAAATTCCACCTTAGTTTTAGGCCATGGAACCCCAACAACCTTCTTGAATTCCTCTTCAATGAACAAATGCCCTTTCCAAAATTGTTTTCTTTCTTCAACATCAAAGAGTCAATTGCATACCTCGATATGATGATTACCTCAAAGTTGCCAAGCTCACGCCATGGTTCAAGACAGCCCCAAGGTCTCCACTCCGTCGTTCTCACTTTTGACTATCAGCCATGATCCCAGATGGTTCGAAACCAAGCTACTTGGGCTGGTCGTACTGATATCCACCGTCACCCCCTCTTCTTCGTTGTTCCTCACCTGATGTTCACCTCTATTCACCGTTGTGCTAGTCACTGGTTCTCCTCCTTCCTCGTCGCCATCAACGTCGACTATTAACACGTGCAGCCGTCGGAACTGACATTTGTGATTCGGGTTCCATCGTTCGTTACACTTGATGCACAACCCCTTCAGCTGACGATCTTGGAGCTCTGCCTGTGAGAGTCGTCGACTGCCGCTCGCCTGACCATCCGTCCAGTGGCCACCGTCGTTAGCCTGATTGACGATGCCTGTGGCCCCCTTCGTCGTTGTCCTTTGATTTTCGTTGTTTGGTGCCCTAAAGCTTTGGGAGCCCGAAGCCTTAGAACTTAGTGCATTGGGTTGCCCACTAACCCAACCCGAGTTTGCTGGGTTTAGTGAACTTGAACCAGTCCACCCTCCAACTTTGTTTTCATGCGAGATGAACCAATTACGTTGGGCCCGTCCTCCTTTGTTGAGCCCACTTGACCCAACCTTTCCCCTTGTACCTAATCATTCCTCCATCCAAGCCACGTTCCTCTTCTCAATCTTCAGAGAAAATTTTATCATCTCTGTCAAGCTAGTGGCAGGGTGCATAATCAACTCTTCACGGAAGTTACTCATAACGCCATTGAGCCACGCCTCTCTAAGCAGTTCCTCGTCCTTAAATTGCAAAGCTCTGATTACCTTCTCGAACTCGCATCTGAGCTCAGCCACCGTTCCACTCTGTTTAAGCGAGTCTAACGCTCTATAATGATCGTCTAATGATTCTGGTTGAAATCGACTCATAATTTCCTACTTGCCCACTTTGTGTTTCTCCACCACAAGCTCCCTCTGCGTTTCCATTTCTAGAGTAGAACGTAATAGCTCTGTTTTTGATTTCAAAGATTCCCGTTCGTCTTCTTCCTCTTGAGTGTCTTTCATCTCGTTCTCCTCAGAACATTTGCTCCACCTTCCTCTACGTGATCGTTCTCTAGAGAGATTCTTGGTGTTCTGAAGAATCTCACCAAGGATTCTAAGTATCTCGCTATGATTTTCTTCAACTTGCCTTTCTCTTTTCTTCCATTCTTCAAATCTATTTTCCAGTTGCATCTCACCCTTCCTCCAATTTTCGGACCTGTTTTCCATTTTCTTTTTCTTTTTTCTGATTGGTGTGGTTCAAAGCCCCCTAGATCGGAGAGCTCCAATACCAATTGATAGGTATCAGTAAAACAAATTCAAAGAAACAACTAAACAGAAGCATTTTACTATGAAATCAGAAGTACAATGTATCAGAGATGGCAATTACAATACCAAAAGGAAATACAATGATAGTGACAGCAATAACTAAGGTTGATTACAGTAACAGGGGACTGAAATATAACCAAGGTAAATTACAAAGTTAAACCAGTGCTAGAGCTATTCGAGAGACCCTAGTCGCTCCCAAGTTCTAGCCTAATTTCAAATCCAAAGATGATCCCTCATGCCCTCCTCTTATTCAGCTCACTTTCCCGCCTCTTCCTCAACTGTTTTCAGTGCACATCCCTTCCAGATCATTCTTCTCCTAACAAACCATTAACCAACTGACTTGCTTAGGCCTGGGCTCCTAACATCCCTTTCACACAGTGCCTTCGAGATCCCATTGCTTGAACTGTAAGGATCCATTAAGGTAAGAGCTGGCATAACCTCCACCATCGGGATCCCACTGTGTGAAAGGTATATGCCAATGGCTTTCTAAAACATAAGAGAGCCCACCAGGGTCCCATTCCGCTTTTGCACTTGAACCCTTATCTACCCGCTTGAAACTAGTAACATGAGCTCTGTTTATCAGATTTCCAGTAGCAAACAAAAAAACCTCATTAAGTTGACGAATAGCATTAATAACAGTAGAAAAATGCCTTGTTCCGAATATACCTTTCCTCCGGTTCACATAACTAGGCAGTGAATATTCTTGTGTGCCTTCCATTCTCAAAAAATCAGAATCTTCAACATATAAAATACCCTGTTTATCTTCATCAACTATGCGAAACCTATTATGATTTTGTTCCAAGACATCAAAAGCATAGTTCCTACAAAATCCCACAAATTCCACCGTAGTTTTAGGCCATTGAACCTCAACGGCCTTCTGGAATTCCTTTTCAATGAACAAATGCCCTTTCAAAAATTGTTTTCTTTCTTCAACATCAAAGGGCCAATTGCATACCTCGATATGATATTTGATTACCTCAGAGTTGCCAAGCTCACGCCATGCTTCAAGACATCCCCAAGGTCTCCACGCTCCGCCGTTCTCATTTTTTACTATCAGCCATGATCCCAGGTGGTTCGAAACCAAGCTACTTGGGTTGGTGGTACTGATATCCATCGTCACCCCCTCTTCTTCGCTGTTCCTCGCCTGATCTTCACCTCCGTTCACCGTTGTGCCAGTCACTCCTCTTCCTTAATCGCTTTCGGTTGCACATCCCTTCCAGATCCTTCCCTCCTAACAAACCATTAACCAAATGGCTTGTTTGGGCCTGGGCCGTATCAATATATTAGAGAAATATAATGTAAAACCATTAATGTAGTCTTCACTTAACAACTTAAGTTTTGGGTTAAATTGATTCTTTACATAGAAGAACTTATTTTAAGGATATAAAAATTAGAGTGACATATTGCACTATAGAAAATTTTTTGGGGCTTTATAATTTTTGTTTCGAAAGAGAAGGTGCCTAACTAAAGGTATCTTACAATGCCAAGACCCAATTCCATCTTTGTTGGGCCCAAACGATCCGATGTAACCTGACCAGGAAGTGTGCAAATGGATAATGCAACACCCATCGTCCCCACCATTTCAGATGCACGTTTTGCTTCTGCAGCAACATCAATGAGAGAAAGACCAGCAGCAGCAGCAGCTCCTGCAACCTGCCTCACCCAAAACAAAAATATCATTAAATAAGCAAATAAATAAGAACTTTGCATTATTTTATGATGTGTTAATATTCATAATGCTACTTTCAACAAGAAAATAAATTCACATTATTACACACCCCAGAAAGTCACTTCCTATAGTTGGAAGAAACAGAATGCAATAAAACAGAAGGGGCTTTGTGAATAAACCTTATGAACAAGAATAGTGCCTGCCAAACCTCTTCTTCCGGCAATTCCTCGAGGTGGAGGTAAGGCACAATCATCCCCAACAATTACAGTCTGCATGATGCAAAATACTTGTCATACTTATATAATGTCAATTGTTATAACTTAAAGGTGAAAACAATGGTCATCTAAGTTCTAAACATACCTCTACTTTATAACCTTCAGATTTTGCTTGCTCAGCAGCCAAACCAAAGTTCAAACGATCACCGGTATAGTTCTATGAACACCAAAATTTGAACACTATGAATCCATAAACAAAAGCAGATCCTAATGACTCCTCATGATCTGACTGACCACACTAGTGCAAGAAGCACAGATTATCCAAAAAAGAAAAAGAAATTATTCACTGCTCAAATCTGATTTTGCAGGGTGCCAGAATTCTTTTAATAAAAAATGCAATTTCCTTTAATCTTTTCACCTCATATTGTCTTAATTAAGCAGGCATCAATTTCTTATTTCTATGTATAGAACATCAAACACAGATACTGATCAGAAAGAGCAGCATAAAAACATGTACTTAACAAAGGAAAAGGGTTAAAGTATTAGTTAAGAAACCATAAATAATACCGTAACAATCAGAAGACATCCCATAGGACCAGTTACAGCTCGTATCCCCTAATTTAAATGAGAATGAGCATCAGAAGAATACCAGTACATTTATAATTGAAAGGGTGATATACACGTCACTTTCAACAATAAGAAGGAATCATACAGCTAAAATTGAATCAACTGGCGGAGAGGTAAAGACATCCCCCAAGATGGCTGCCGTCAGCATACCTTCTCCCACATATCCAGCTTGAGCAGGCTCATGGCCACTTCCTCCCCCTGTATCGGGAATTGTAAAGGTACATAACAATTCTGCTCATTTACGAATAAAAACTAAGAAATAGGTCAATTTGGTCTGGTTCACTCTTGACAAGTATCAGGGATGGTTAAGGAACATATTTTTTTTCTTTCCAGTGATTAATCCCAATATATACTCTGATTCGAATCCTAAGAATACAATTTCTTAAAATCGAAGCACTAAGATTTTATGATGTAGAAAAGCCAAGTGGCACTACAAAGAGAATTCAATGAAGACCTGATATGATTGCAACTTTATCATAGGTTGTACATGAAACATCGGCACGTAACACAACCTTCACCTGCATTCCATGCAGGAAATAAAAGAAAATGAAACATGTTGAGGAACATTCATAGTTGATAGGTACAGAAAAGAGAGAAATTTGCATAACCCAAGGCCATGGCGAATTGGCGATGCATGTGATACTGATGTGAGAGTGATCACATCACCTGAGGAAAGCCGTCTAAATAGTTTAGAGCAGGATAAGTCTCGACGAGACCTTCAATGAACTCAGTAACAACATCTGCAATTAATCAAATAGAAATAGAAATTCGAAAATCAAAAGAGCAATTATACACAGCCAGGTTGCAGCATGTGGAATTAACAGAAATCAATGCAACTGCTTCCTTGTCCGAGGCTCAGTGTGAATCGGTCAAAGGTGAACATGAATGAATGAATGAACTCATTTCGAATAAGGAGAAATTCAAAAAAAAAAAAAAAAAAAAAAAAATTGCATACCGTTGGGATGGTTGATGAGCTTCTTAGCTGGAAATGCCATTGAATCAAATCGAATCGATCAACTCAAAGTCAAACCAACCCTACAAATAAAACAGAAATTCTACTCCTATCTCCACTCCTTATCTATCCTTCAACAAAAGTAGGATATTGTTAGTATCAATTTTTTCTATCACTCAATTATCACTTTAATCATGGATCCAAAAGTTTTTTTCTCTCTCTCTTTTTGTTTAAATTTTCTTAGAATCCAATGATGATTAAATTGTTAATGAAATGATAGTAAAAAAAATTAATAATAAAAATATCTTACCTTATATGTATTCCTATTCTTTATTTAGAAGTAGTATATTTATATTTATACTATCACTTTAATCACCATTGAATTTAAAAGTTATTATTTTTTTCTTTCCTCATTCAATTTTTCCTCTAATCCAATAATAATTAAAGTGGTAGTAAAATTTTTTGGTAATATGAATATTCTACCTCCTCTATCAATTGGTGTAATTATTTCCATAATATCTCATTGATAGGTTATTCTACTTACTTATTTTTTATGTCTGTCTTCTCTATCAATTTCCAACTTTGTTAGATCAAAAATAAATAAGATGAGAGAAAAATGGCAAAAGTTAATTAAAATTATGATATAACGGTATTGAAAAATGAAAAACAAAGTAAGCATAAAAAAAGTAGATACAATATCTAATCCATTTTAAGTTTTAAGTTTTTCTATTACATAATTATTAGGGGTGTTAACGAGCTTTGATCTTAACGTGCCAAGCCTGTATTTAAACGTGTCTGACTGCCTTAGCCTGTTACTTGTTACGAATATAATATTGGTCTGTGACCTGGTTTATTTACAAAAAAATAAAAGCATGTGTGAAGCCTGTCTTAGCCTGTTAGCATGTTAAAGAATAAAAATAAGAGAACAGAATTTCACAAAAAATCAATTTCCAGATAGAAACCTTAGCTTCCAATTTGCAGCAATAATTTACAAAGTCTACAATAAATAAAAAAATTAAAGTGAGGGAAGGTAGATAACAGTTTATATTATCTTAGCCAATTATAAAAAAAGTGCCAACAAAAATAAAAATAAAATAAATAAAATAAAAAATAAATTGACATAAACGAGCAATGCACAGTGGAACGAATGAGTTTTTGTGGGTTTGTTTGTGTGAAGGAGGATGAAGGATAATATAGAACAGCACTATTAATTCTATAAATATACATAAATTCAATATATATCCAAATAGCATAATATAGAACAAAATCATTCAAAAAGTCTGTTAAACAATTAAAATGGGGTGAAATAAATTGATGAGAGAGAGTTATTACAAGTAGTATAAAAAGTATAAATAAATATTTATATACTAGGCTAGCCTGGGAGGCTCTAAAGCCGAGCTTCTGAATTAGAGCCTGAGGCCTTTTTATTAAACGAGTTTTTATACAAGTCCAAGTCTAGTTCCAACACGAGCTTTTATTAAACGAGCTCAGGCCTTTGCGAGCCGAGTTAAAGGCCCCTGGCTCGTTTACCACCCCTGATAATTATCTTCTTATTATACCCTTTCAGATCTTTTTTTTTTTTTAAAACAACAAGCAAAATTTATTTATTTTAAAAAATACATGTTTTTTATAAATATACATTACTAAAATGTTTTTGAAAATATTATCACGTGACATATTTTCTTTTAATCATAATCTTGTAAGTTTTAATAATAAAATTATTCAAATAACTCTTTAGAAATAACATTATTACAAACATTATTAAAAAGACAATGAAAATATTTATTTAAGCTCCATGATGCAGTATATCCCTTTCTTTTCTGTAATAAATCTTGTCTTGATTTAAGAAAATATTCAAATAATATTATAATATTATTTAATTTATATATTATTATTAATATATTTTTATTTTTATATTATTATATTAACATGGGATATATAAAAATTGTATAAACTTAAATAATATAATAATTTTCAGCAATATATAATTTTTATAGAGAAAATTTATTTAAAAATGATTAATATATAATTAAAATTTATTTTATAAATAAGAAAAAAAAATTGATAATTATAATATTTTTATATTTAAAAAAAATCAATTATTATTTAAAAAAATATAATAAGTTACTTTATTCAAATTATTTATAAATAATGTATTAAAATTACCAAAAAATAAAAAAAAAACTAATAAATAAAAACTCATAGTAATGAACATTCGATTAATTCAACAGAGTAATAAAATATACAATACAGTCTCTTCCTTAAGGAAAAAATTTCAGCGGTCCCGAGTGTAAATATGTTAAGTTAGGTTATGTTTTGTGTAAAATTCTTTAGGATTGACCTGGTTTTTTAGTCTGTGTATGTCTAAATTACAAGTCTTATTTGACCTGTATTTAAAAAATAAAAATTTTGACCTAGGCCTGTTAATCTGTTTAAGCCGAATATAAATAATATGATAGGTCGGCCTATAGGCTTATAGCCTGAAATGTACAAAAAAAAACATACGACCTATTTTCTAAATAAATTTTTAAAAAAATCTAGGTCTGTTCTATTTAACTATTTGTAATAGATCAAGCTTGACATAATATAGACTAAGTCGTAAGTCCCTATAGACCGACCTAAGTTATTTAGATCTCTAATCCCAAGACATGAATCAGTTGGTCGAGCGAATAAGAATGGAACAACAATTGGGAACAATGTACAGAAAACAAAAATAAAATAAAATTTACAAATATTAATTTCTTGAACAAAGTCAGGAGCTCTGAATTCTTTCTCATCAAGTATGAACTTGGTGGGTCCCGCATTAGTCGCTGCTAGGGGTGAAAGTAGGTTGGGTTGGGCTAAGTTTTGCCTCGAAAAGTCCAAGTCTACGTCAAAAAATTTTAATTTGGCCTGACTCATGCCTAGAATGAGTCTAATTGTTAGCCTGACTTGGCCTATTTATAAAAAATAAATAAATGGTCTGGTCTAACCCGTTAACCTGTTAATTTTTAACTTCAAAGCAGAATCATAAATCAAACTTTACAAAATACTTAAATTCTGTTACTAAAACAAAAATGATAATTTCAACGTCCAAACAGAATCATGAATCACAACAAAACTCATACAATCTGCATTTATGTCACTTTTAAAAACAAAATGCTCAAACTAAATAACATATATTTCACCAGATCCAACAAACAAATTCATGCTATTTAAATTAAAATAACTACTTGAATCCAACAAACCCATCATGATGCTTGTAGTAAATATAACTTCTCCCAAAAATCTTTTAATATATTCATATACACAATTTAATATGCTGAGATATTAGCTCCACTTACATAATAAATAAAGTCAGATTTCTACTAAAATATAATCGAATATAATTAAGTTATAAATAACTGCAATTGATTGAATTTATATTTTTTGTTTTTCTTCAAGGCATACTTATTCTATTTTTTTTAAAAAAAAAAAAATAGTACAATATATATCGACCTGTAGGCTTATAGGTCAGACCTTATGAAGGTGGGCCTATGACCTTTTTATTAAACAAACTTTTTCAAGATTCAAGCCCGACTTATTTTATAAAATATACTAAGTCAGATCTAATCTGACGTAAATCGAACCATAGACTCATATAAGCCGGCCCGGCCCAGTTTCAGTCGCTGCGGATAGCTTTTCTTTCGATGATTCCGTGAAGAGAAAGAATTCACAGCTCCCAGTCGATCCACGTGCTCTTTCGTTCAATAAATTGATATTTGTAAAAACAAAATTTTTCTTTTTCCGTACATTGCTCACAATCGTTGTTCCATTCTTATTGGCTCTGTCCACTAATTGATTCACGCCACTGCTGAAATTTTTTTCGGTACTTGATAGTTGAGACTGCAATGCTTTATTCTTTCTACTTACCTTGTCCCACCCACATATCAGACCAACTACTTCATTTTCAACTTAAGTTCCAACAATAAAGTTTGTGTGAATTCTATTTTTAAAAATATTTTTTTTTTTTAAATATCTATTTAATAATTTCTATTTTCTAAAAATAATTATATAAATTATAATTATTTTTCACTTTTTAAAATTAAATTTAGAGAACATAATCCATCTATTTCATTAACTACTCTACAAACACTTTTGAAAATAAAAAAAGTAAAACATAATTAAATATATTCTAAATCTCTATTTTAACACTTCCATCTCATATCAATTTAATTTTTAAATTATATAAAAATAAATATTAATTTAGTTTTCTAATTAGTTTTACGAGATCGGATACTCTTACACCGAAATAAGAATGAAAGGTTTTATACTTAATTTTGACTATTAATCCACTTATATCTCATGACTTACATATTTAAAAAATTAAAATCGTTAAATATAAATGAGATCAACTGTCAAAATTAAAAGTGTAACTTATACCGATATAAAATGATACCAACCCCAATTTAATTCTTTAATAGTGTGATCATTATATATTTCATGTCACTTTTTATTATTAAAAACCTTAATTAATATCAAAAAATTTATAAAATGAAAGTTATTAAATTTGTATTTGTGAAGGGAGCTACTACGATATTGTAACAATCAATTAGTGTTACTACCGATGTTACTACCAATCAATTTTATCGTTAGATCGATTATATTGATCCAACAGTTATATTTATTTCTACCTTTGTATAGTTATGATTCTCCATATTTAATATTTATATTTATTTTCACCTTTGTATAGTTATGATTTTTCATATTTAATATTTATATTATTTTCAGCTATGATTATGATTCTCCATATTTAATATTTTCATATTAAATATGGAGAATCATAACCCTACAAGATAGAAATAAATATAACTGTTGGATCAATATAATCACTCTAACGATAAAATTAATTGATAGTAACATTAACCCACTGTTATATTATAGTATCCTTACCTTGCGGAGGAGTAAAACACGGCTTGGTCTAATTTTAATATGCTTCCCTAGCACCCACGAATTTCGTTTGCAAAGCCGCCGTCATATAATCAATATGATATGACTTTGTGCTTCAACAGCGAGAGCCCATTGTGGCCAATGCCAACTAATCATTAGGAGCAGATAAGCATCACGATGCCAATATCTTGATTTTAGGTATTGCTGCTCATGTCAGTCTAAGAATACTTTAGCATATGCCAACTAGAATTAATTAGATGAATTTTACTTACAATGTCGGAAATAATTTCAAATGGTGCTCATGTTTGGCTTTCATCCTTCACTTATGTTTTGAATATAAAAGCTCGTTTCATAGCAGCAAAAATGACCAAAGAGGGAGGGGGATCAGAAAAGGTCATACAAGCTAAAGGCCAAAGGGCCTAATTGAATTGTGGATTTTTGCTGTGCTCTATTGATAACTGGATTGGAGAAAGTGTCAAATCTCTGCCTAACTCTAAATGGAGCTGATAATTGGTTTAGGATTTCAACATTTTTATGCCTCGATCTTATAGTAGCTTCAGCTTCAATTTTCTTTCCTCTACACAGAGAGGAGGATAACCCATGAAATTGTTCACTAGGATAAGATGCTTCTTCAATTTTCATTGGTTGAAAAATTTCATGATATTTTCACCCACTGCACTACCAAACCTCATACTCTACTATTCAACCATTGAAGTATGTCCTGTGTGATAGCATCTCGTTCAGGTTCGAAGAGCAGGTCATGTAAGTAGCCATCATATAGTTTGATAGTTTTGTCAGATGAGGAGGCTTCTTCATACAATTTTTGAGAAGCATCGGGATCAGTTACAGAATCAGCAGTGCCATGGAGAACAAAAAATGGAACTCTCAATTTTCTCAGATTTTGCTGCAAGTAGCTTGTAATTCTGAGAATTTCATGGCCAGTACGTACTCTAAGAGGTCCAGTACATACTAACGGATCAGAATATTTAGCAATTAGTGCCTCTGGGTCTCGAGACACTGGCAACCCCTTCTTATATGCAGAACTAAATTGATATGTTGGCAGCAAAAATGAAACTATGGGGGCAAGTACCTGCAACGAAGAAGACATGGAGATGAATATGCCAACTCTGCCATGTTTTTTGCATTCTCATATAAAGTGAATATGTCAGAAGGTATCTTTCATAATCAAATAGATAAATTGGACGCGATCATCAAGTCTGTGCTCACCAACAAAATTGGATGAGAAGGTGCAACTCCAACTGCTGGTGACGTCAATACGGCACCAGCTATGCGCGCTTCAACCTCTGGATCAAGCAGTGCCTAACATAAAGATAGAAATCAAAGCTAAATCAATTTATACTTCTTGACCTTCTTTGCCCCTCACTAGATAGTTGCAAGAATCCTTTTTTATAAAAATTACCTTAAGAGTAATGGCTGCACCCGTTGAGTGTCCAAAGCAGAAACATGGAAGCCCAGGATTTTCTGTTAGAATCTTCTCAAGAAATACTTTCTATTTATCAAAAGGAAAAGATTCTTTATGAGAACAAAGGCATTTCAATCAGCAATAAAATCTAAAAATACTACTACTTTCTACCCACTGCATCTCTCTCTAACTGCTATCCCACTGTGCATACTTAAATCACAACACCATTTATCTATACATTGTTCTATAAAGTCTTGTAGATTCCAGTTCCAGAACATACCATATCAGAAACAGCATCATCAAGAGAATGGACATAAGCATGCATCCCATCACTTCCACCATGCCCTAAATGTAAACAGAACAGATAAAAATCAGAATTGAGCAAATAAACAGGAGACAAAAAATATTAAAACACAATATACTAGAGTGGAAAATAAAGCATCTAAGTTTCCAGGACAGATTTTAAGTCGTGGCATGGCCTGGTGAAGAACATACATCCAACTTTCTGAAATTTTCATATTCTAATAAACTGCTATATTTGAAACGGTGAAAAGGACTAGAGTGGAACATAAACCATCCAAGTTTCCAGGACAGATTTCAAGTCAAGGGAAAATACTCTCATCAATCATCATCAAGTCAGACACAATACTCTCAGACAAAATAAGCTTACTTGTAAATAGGAGCTTGAAATGTTACTTTATTGCACAAAGAGAACCCAAATAACTCAGTCCAGCAACATCCAAATATAGACGCAGATTGAAGTGCAGTGATCTGTAAGGTATATGAAAAAACGATCACTGTCTTCTATGGATTGCCTAAGGGAAGTAGTATATATGCAACGATGACATAAAAGTAGCCAGTAGAAAATTTTCACCGTTTTTGTTTTATTCATACTAAAAAGACATGGCATAAATCCATGGATGGAAATTCAAGAGCGATTGATCATATGATAATTCATGAAAGGTCATAAAGAGAAGTCTTACCAACCCAATCCATCCCATAAACCTTGAAGCCATTGGCATTGAGCTGCTTTGCAAAATTACTATATCTGCCACTGTCAGAGAATAATGGTAGGGATCACACGGATCAGGAATAGAATAAGAGAATGAGTTGGCAATTAAGCGGAAGGAAATTAAATTACAAACCTGTGTTCATTAAGTCCATGCATAAGAAGAACAACTCCCCTGCATAACATAAATAAATTAGCAACTTAGAAAAGAAAGAAATATAAGTAATCCATTTCCATAAATAAATAAAGAAGGAGGAGTTGAAGAAAGAGACCTGAAATTACGAGAGAGCGGAATCCAAGACTGGGTGAAAATGGTATGACCCCTTTTGGTTCGGAAGAGGAAGTAGTGCCTCAGAATAGTAGCATCGTCGTCCTCTAACACTCTCCGTATGGCCAAGGCCCTCCTAGTCCTGGCAGTGGAAGTGGAAGTGCTCTTCAAAGCCACTCGCACCACCGAACCTTTGCGGAATGGGGAGAGAAGGAGCAAAACGAGGGCGTTGAGGAGCACAAGCAGGTTCCTTAAGGCACGGAGGGATAACAATGCCCTGATGCGTCCGCTGGCACCGGACGTCAAAATCAGCGACCCTTCCTTTCCCTTCACTGTTGCCATTCCTTGCTTCCTTAATTTCTGATACGTACCATCAAACAACTCAAAATTCAAACCCCAAAAACGGACAATAGGAGGATAGCAGTTGTTGAAATTGAACGGACAGCCAGGATTTGGCACAACGATAGCTTGTTTATATTCTTTCTTAATTTCTTTGTTCAGAATCTTCAATCTATAGTTGACAGAAGCTTTGTTTCTTTCACTTTGATTTTGATCTGAATGGAGGGAAAAAAACAATGGAAGATTTTGATTTGGATTTGTCGAGGGACAACGTTGTATAAGCAAGGGGCACCACATTCCGGAAGGTGCAACACATTACTCATGTCGTGTAATATTAGGTCGGAGCTTCTCTTAACTGTCTGTGAGGTCCTGAACCTTTACACGTGGATATTTCCAAACCACATGACATGCGTCTATCTCTTCACTTTACACGTATTTCGTTTGCAGCGATAAAACATATTTTTTCATGGGCTTTTTGACCCTTTTACCCCTCATTAATTAATTAATAATCAATTTGTCTCTGATTCAGAACTATCCACCAATCTGCCCCTTTTAGTCGACTACCTTGATTTTTTAGTCGAGCAAATGGTCAAAATTCAGAATGTGGACTACACGAAATATAGTCGACTAGAAAAGCATCTTGATCGACTACATTTTTGGGATATTTAGTCGACTAAGGCACGATATTTAGTCGACTAAATATCGACTGAAATCCTATATTTTCCATGTTTTCGGTCTCATTTCGATTGTTGTTGTTGTGTAAACTAAAATAGCTCTCTTTGTTCATGTGTAATCCTCTCAATCCGATTGTATTTCATCCCACCATCTCTACAGCCCTAATATTGTGAAATCATTGTCATTGCACAATTCCAAACCTCCAAAATCCGAACCCAAAAATGAATTGCGGAGGAAGCAGGGGAGGGGCTTAATGTTTTGATGGTTTAAGATTAGAAGGCATTTATGGTTTAAGATGCTTGTATTTGATGTAATGTCATGTAATTGAAAAAAATGAACGGGTTGATGTCATGATGTTTGTATTTGAATGTAATGACGGTGCTATGTTTGGATCCAAGGTCTATGCCATTTTCAATAACTCACTAACGTCTGTGCAATGGAACTTTTGTACTAACATTTGTACGAATGAACCAAATAATAAGAACCACAAGTCATAGTCGTCCATAACAACTGACATTAATAACTTATATGTGTTTAAATTGTTACAATGCAGATTTGGTGCGCATACACCAACGTTTTGACACAGTACGTAAACCATGTATGAATTTAACTTCATCTTAGTTTTTTGACTCGGAAATATTATGCTCCCTAAGTCACACTCCCTTAGTGGATCAGTGTAGAGTGCAAAAAAAAGTGCAAAAAACATGTGTAAAACAGATTTGGGGTCCTAAAACCAACAATTTAGTCGATTAACCTGTACTGGTTTAGTCGACTTAATCGACTAAATTGTTGGTTTAGGACCCCAAATCTGTTTTACACATGTTTTTTTGCACTTTTTTCCACTCTACACTGATCCACTAAGGGAGTGTGACTTAGGGAGCATAATTTCGAGTCAAAAAACCGATGTGGACATTAAATTCCTAAAACGAAGTCGTATGTTGTCATAACGTTTGTTTACGGTTAACAATACAAGATGTAGCCTTTTTAAACACATATACTGATTTGCTGCGATGTGTTATGGACGAATGTGACCTGTTCATTATTGTTTTGTGCCGTGATGATCAAATTGCTAAAAAGGTTCCATTCATAAGTTATACAATATTGAAATGGAATTCAATTCATTACACAACATAACATAGATCCAAAAAACATAACAATTCTGCATTCATTAAAAAAAGTTACGGGACATCAACAACTTAAAGGAAATACATGAAAAAAACATAATAACATGATGTAAACCCTAAATCTACTCCTCATCCCTGTTTGTGTCCGTCTCCGAGTCGTCCTCATTTGACACATGACCCCCATCCCCTACTGCCTCAGCTACCTCCCCACCTCTTGCAAGCTCCAGACGAGCAAGCCTGTCTTCCACACCCTTAAACCTTCCATGTATGTGTCTAAACCTTTCATTCCCTTTCTTTCTCCATTTTTTATGTGTCAGCGCCATCTTTCCTATCTTCTTTGTCATTGCATTTATGCCCTTCATGACATCACGCAATGAAAATCCACCTTCAGGTTCAGCTATCTCCTCAACCTCAGCCACATCCTCCTCCTCCTCCTCATCCTCCGCCTCTGGCTCAACAATGTGGTCATCTGGGGCAACATAAGGAACCTCAACCTGGGGCATACCACTGAACTCCCACACACCTGATCTTGTGTTCTTAGTAATCTTGCACTGTTCCAATAGACGCTTTCCGAACTTGCAATTATAGCCCGTGGTCTTCTTCAACAGCTCAGTCTCCATGGGAACACCAAAGTGAACCAATATCCTCTGTACCAGACAGGCGTATGGAAGATGACCCTTATGTTTGGCCTTAAACATAAACCAACAGATATAGTGCCTCCAGTTCACCATCTGGGCATGTCGGATAGCCCACATAATGGGAATGTCATGTTCCAACACCCTGGAATGATTAAAAGATCGCGGAAACAGAACGTGGGTGAGGACATAGTGTAGTATACGGGACTCCACAACAAGCAACCCCACCGTATAGTGCAAGTGTTCCCCACGGACTCTTCTCTGCTCCTGCACGGCATCCTCTCGTATATATCCTGGAAGTACTACACCACTATCAGCGTCATGCGCCACAGTCTGAGAAGAGTCAAAATCATAGCCGAGTATCTCCAACCATACAGGTGCCGTCATGATGATCTCTATTCCACAGACCCTCGACTTCAGCTCGCCCTGTACGTAGCTGAGATTATGGTAGAAGGCCCACACCATAAGCTCTGAATACGGACATAGGGTCTCGGCCAACACCCTCAGATGTGCCGCCTCCAACACCCCCACAATTTCAAATCCCTCCTTAGTAAAAAAAAAGTTGTATCCAAAGATTTTGGAGAACATAACGGTCGGTTCAAATGGTCACGTACGAATGAAGCGTGGACGGCAGGGTCGTCCTCAAACAGGTACCCATACGGGAGGTCAACAGTATCAGGCTCTTCGTCTTGTGGCCTTGACGAAGAAGGCCGTTCTTGCCTATGCTTGGTGCGTCTCTCAAGTGACTCATTGCCCTCATCGCTTGGTCTTCTGCGGCCCGTCATTTGTTTAGGGTACCTACAATGAAACATGTCAGCATTTAACTATATCAAACATGTCATGATGGTAATGAAAACTTGCAACATAAGGGCTGTAAACCAAAAGCAAACTTTTCCCACATACAAACTTTTCAAACAAAAAAATTCACACAATGCAAAAAAATAAACCTTAGTAGATTAGGGTTACAAAACCTAAAACAAAAAATTTGATTAGGGTTCAAAAATTCGGACAGCAAACAAATAAAAAAAAATTTCAAAACCTAAAACACAATGCAAGTTAAGAAACCTTACCTATCCTTGAGATTTCACGATTTGGACCGTGATTTTGGTGCAATCCACACGCCTGAGGGAGGGGTTTGGGGCGTTCTTCAGCTGCTCCTGCGGATTTGGGGTTTGGGGCTCTCCTTAGTCGATTAGGTTTACTACACCCCCTTTGCCGAATGGGGGGGTTTTTAAAAAACAAATCCGTCAATATTTAATCGACTAAATATCGTGCCTTAGTCGACTAAATATCTCAAAAATGTAGTCGATCAAGATGCTTTTTTAGTCAACTATATTTCGTGTAGTCCACATTCTGAATTTTGACCATTTGCTCGACTAAAAAATCAAGGTAGTCGACTAAAAGGGGGCATGTTGATGGATAGTTCTGAATCAGGGACAAATTAGTTATTAATTAATTAATGAGGGGCAAAAGGGTCAAAAAAAAAAAAAAAAAAAAAAAAACCTTTTTTCATGCCTTGAAACATTCATCCGGCTACATTAATGTATGCATGTTTTTTCTTTTACTAATAGAATACTGGATAAATAACTTGGAGAAACATTTTTTCTTCAACATACCCATCAAAAGCTATGCCATCAATTTTTTTTATTCCTGTGCGTCTCACAATTTTTTTTATATCAGCGGGAGATAAAAAAAACTCTCCTATATCATAGGAGACATATTACCTATAATATATAGGATTACATGAGAAAATATCTTTCTTCTCCATATATAAGAAGCATGTGGGTTTTATTGATAAGAGAGAAAAAAATTCAATAAAACCCACATATTTATTACATATATAAAAGAAAAATGTCTACTCATATAATATATATAATTCAACGATACTGAATCCTTTCCTCATATCCCATGAATATTGGTAATATATTTTTAATGCTTTTTCCGTGTAATTAATGTTTTTAATCATGATCATATGCTTTATGATATAGAAACAATATTAATTTTAAGATAAAAAAAAGATAGCATATACTATTTTATAAATTAGTTAAGAATATATTAAAGAAAATCTTTGTTATATCTTAATTCTTAAAAAAAATAAAATCACAATTCTGCCTTCTTCTTTTTAAAAAATAATAATAACGTTATTTAAACGCATAAAATATAATTTAAAATAAAGACGTCATTTTATATTTTTTTATGATCGAGGTTATACATATAATCTTTTTCATTACAACTTTTTACCATCATTTTTGAATTAACGGTAATATCAAGTGACCAATGTTGATTCGATTTTAATTTAACCATAACAAAGTGGTTGTAAAAAAAAAATGTGATAAATATAAACTCTCCTTTTTCATAAACAAACATAAAAAATTTCTCATGAAAAATTGAATATGAAATAATACTTTTTTTTGGTAACAATATGAAATAATACTTCATTCTTTCACATTAAAGTAAAGTTAAGATTAAATATGAAATAATGACAAAATATAAATTAATATCTCCAACCAAAACGCGTTGTTTGACCAAATATTCTCATTATAATTATTTTTTTTAAAATGCCAATACAAGTTCTGAATTCTTAAATGGAATTAGGTGACCAAAAAAAAATTTATGTACTTTTTCTTAATTTTTATGCAAATCCCCTCGTCTGCTGTTCATATATAGTTCGATGCATGATATGATGCTTGACTAATCAGTAATTTATATTTGGATTCCTAAATTTTTTCATGCGATCGACTTCGTATTACATGAAAAGATTAATTCTCTTATGATATATATACTACATTTAATTTATTGAAATTATAACATGGCATTGATGTAATCATATTTTATGTTATGTTTGCATGCAATTTTATTGAATACAAATAGAAACAAGAAAAAGAATCGGTGAATTAAAATAAAAATCCTAGTCAAATTTCATATTTGATGTAATTAAAAATAAAATGACAAGAAAAGCGATACAACACTAAATTAAAATTACATCGTTTTATAAAATGATTCAATTTTATTGTGCAAAAGATATGACATAAAATAGAATGTAAATTAATATAAATGACATAAAGTATTGCTAGTGATTTTTTTTTTTCATATTATATATATAATGCTATTATATTTTTTAAAGCAATATTTAAGATTAAAAATATTGGTAATATATTTTTTAATAATTTTCCCTTATAATTAATGTGTTTAATCATGATCATAGGCTTTATGATATAGGTACAATATCAATTTTAAGATAAAAAGAAAACTCATAACATGTTATAAATCAGTTAAGAATATATTAAAAGAATTATATGAAATCTTATTTCTCGAAAATATAAAATCACAGTTCTACCTTCTTCTTCTTTTTGAAAAATAAGGTTTTATGAATTTAAAATTGAATATGAAATAATATTATATTCTTTCACATTAAACGGAAAGTTAAGATTAAAGTATTAATTAATGATAAACTATAAATGAATTTCTCATACCAACACGCGTTGTTTGACCAAAGATTCTGATTACAGTTTTTTTTTTCTTTTCTTAAACGCTAAGACTTAGTCCTGAATTCTTAAATGGAATTAGGTGAACCGATCCCCTAAAATTGGTTTGGTTGGCATCAGAATTGGTTTATTTATTTCTCTGTCGTTTTCTGATTGTGTGTTGCTGTTTGGTTTGATCAAACTCTCTTCTCTTTCTGCATTCATTCATTCATTCATTCATTCCATAGTGAAACAACAAAACAAACAACAAAAAGAGTTTTGAGTCTGATCTGATGTCTACCCTCACCGTACCCCCTCTTCCTCCTTCCCCCAGAGACGATGCCATACAACTTTACACTGCTTTCAAGGGTACTCTCTCTCTCTCTCTCTCTCTCTCTCTCTCTCTCTGGGTAATATGATTTGTCTGAAATTTCATTTTGACCACCAAGTTGTTCAACATTAGCAATATTGTAGGGCATACATACATTCTACTTAAGTGGGTTCAATTGATGTCTCATGGGATGGGATGGGACAATTTTATCATAAACCGACTCAGAATACATTATGTATAACCATGTACATAATATAAGCTTATATTATGTATAACCATTGCTTAAAGTATACATTCGCGGTTCGGGGATGGTATGTATACAAAAATCGTTTCTTCCATACATAAGCTTTTCTCAATGCTTTTTTAATTTCTTTTCCCTCTTTTTCCCTCTTTAAAGCCATGCTATAATCCTCTACTGCCGTGGTTCTTGTTTGTTAATCATTTACATGTTTACTGGTACTACATCATTCACAAAATTGAAAATTGTCATATGCGTTCTTCTCATGTAGAGATTGCTCTTGAAAAGTCTATTGATAGTATTCTTAGTAACTTAATATATGAAGCCATGTTCATCCCTGGAACCTTTTTCTTTTGTTCTAATTCTATACTTTTACAGGATTTGGGTGTGATACTAGCGCTGTTATCAATATACTTGCACATCGAGATGCTACACAGCGTGCCTACATCCAACAAGAATACAGAACAATGTATTCTGGGGAACTTCTCAAACGCTTATCTTCCGAGCTTTCTGGCAAGTTGGAGGTACTTATACAGTACTGACGTTATTCTCATGAACTCCATTGTAGTTCGTTCATTAATTATAGCGCTATTCATTTCCTGAGGACAGACAGACTAACCTATGTGTTTCTCTATTTAATAACCAAATTCTATGTATCTTGGAATTTAGACAAGTGAAAATGGCTGTGTTTTACTTTCCTAAGTCCTAACAATTTATGGTTGGTCTTGTATTTTTCTTTTAATTAGACTGCAGTTCTGCTTTGGATGCATGACCCTGCCGGACGTGACGCAATAATCCTTAAGCAGTCTCTAAGTGTGGACAAAAATCTCGAAACTGCTACTGAAGTAATATGTTCTCGAACTCCATCCCAGCTACAATATTTAAGACAGATATATCATTCCAAATTTGGCGTTTATCTTGAACATGACATTGAAAGAAACACATCTGGGGATCATAAAAAGGTGAATTTCATCTCTGTCCTTGTGTGCGTGGCTTTCATGAAAGACACCTTAGCTATCACAAATTAGTCACGTTAAGATTTCTCTGTTAGCTGAAAGTCTTATAATCGTTTTGTATGATAGTACTCCTACCAGTTATAGAGCATGGCATTAGTTAGGCACTTTCGGTTGTTTATTTGTAATGTGCAAGTGTGTCACTGTGTCTGTCTCTTGAGGCAAACCTTGTTCAGTTGTTTGTCATTGTTTCCCATTGGATGTAAAAATTCTGTCTCATTTGACCTTTTGGTTTCTTTAATAATGACGTCTATGAGTTCCTTCCCAGATATTCAAACAATGGAGCTGTTGTTACTAATACCTTTATCTAAAAACTTTTATTCAGATTTTGCTTGCATATGTAAGCACACCACGGCATGAAGGCCCTGAGGTTAATAGAGAAATGGCTGAGAAAGATGCGAAGGTTCTCTACAAAGCAGGGGAGAAAAAACTGGGAACTGATGAGAAGACTTTTGTGCAAATATTCAGTGAACGGAGTGCGGCACATTTGGCTGCCATAAGTTCTTATTACCATGGCATGTTTGGACACTCATTGAAGAAGGTAACTTTACCACTTTTATTTCCTTTATATCTTTCTCAAGGTCTTTTTGTGGTGCTTATTCAAACTGAATTTATATCAGGCAGTAAAGAAGGAAACATCAGGGAATTTTGCTCATGCACTTTTGACAATAGTCCAATGTGCTGAGAATCCCGCAAAGTATTTCGCAAAGGTATTCCCTTTGACTTCAACTTTAGGTTGCTTCTTGTAATATCATTAAACTTGGACTTCACACTGAATTTTTGGAGCAAATGATATAGTTGAAAATGTGATTAAATTTATAATCAATCAATATGGATCTCTATGGGGTACATACATTTTTTTGGCATGACTTATATAAGAATGTATCAACAAATTTCTCTCTCTCTCTCTCATATGTGATCAGAGTCAGAGCAACTAAAGATATCCTCTGAAATGCTAATCTTATCCTTTTGTATGACTTAAACTTCTGCAATTTTTGTGAATCAATATCTGCACTTTCTGATATACAAGGAATAGTGACATATTTTTTCAGAGGCTATTTTATAGGAGTAGGCGTCATTTGAACGGGTGTATCTTTTGGTCATTGGTGGCATGGCATATATTATCACTACCCTGATAGTTGTTTGCATAAGTGTTGCTTGTAGTGATGTGCTCCATTGTCTAGATCTTTGTCATCTTCCAATGGTCGAAAAGCAAATATCTTGTACTGATTTTATTCTAGCTGGGTTCTATAAGCCTAGAGTGAACCTTTTAAAATTTATTACTGCCGAGATTTGGAGATATCTTTTCACATTTGCCACCATGCAGGTCTTACGTAAGGCGATGAAAGGTTTGGGGACTGATGACACCAAACTTATAAGGGTGATTGTAACAAGGACAGAGATTGATTTGCAGTATATCAAAGCTGAATATTTGAAGAAATACAAAAAGACGCTGAACGATGCAGTTCACTCAGAAACATCCGGCCATTACAGGACTTTTCTTCTCTCACTTTTAGGTCCCAACCAGTAGTCAAAATGTTCAATGATGTTTTATGTGGAGTAAATTCACCGTACGATGTTTGAATAGAAGAGCAGTACCAATCTTTTCTTTAGTGATATTGTAAATCAGGTAGTACGTAGTGCTTTCTAAGTAATGTGTACACAAACTCGGTTTCTGTTAGGACTTCATGTATTTGCTTGTCTGCACGACACACAGATGAAGGATTATTGTGTATAATATACATATATATACAACTTGTGCTAAATTTTTGTTTCCATTATCATTATAATTTCTCTGCTTGGTTTCTTTTTGATTTTCTAACTTTGGCTAAGGCAGCATTGGTAGATTAAGCAATTGCTCAGTCCCAGTGCCCGATACAGAGTTGGTCTGCTGTGCACCATGGATAAATAGAATTAGGAAAGGAAGATAGTTAGCTATATACGGATACCCTTGATAAGGTATGTAGATAAGAGATAATACTCGACATAGCAATGGAAATTAAAAGCTTCCAATATCTCCTCTTTCTCTCACATTAGACGAAGCATAAATGGGATTTGTTCATTTTCTTTTTCTTGGCAAGCGCCAACCAGGAAACACTTGAGTACTATATCCAGATATTATAGAATAATGTACATGAGCAAATGACATGTAAGTAACAGCCAAGCATGGTTAAAATGATGAAGGGGATGAGGAGGAAGACATGATCTTTCTGATAAGTTGGAGGAGAGAGCGAGGAAGGTGAAGAGGTTGAGGAAGGTTTTTGGTATCCCGAAAGGTAGAATGGATAGTGAGAGCAGCTTGTGTGGAGATGGCATTGCCAAAGCGTGCTTTCTCATCCTTGATGGCTTCTTGACAGAGGCCGCAGACCCAAACCCCACAAAAGCGCTCCTGCACTCCCCTTATGTATCCTGTTGTGCATTCTTCCCACATCCCACAGCAACCACACTCTGCTCTCTTCACCACTTCACCACCACTAGCCATCTCTCTCTCTCTCTCTCTCTCTCTCTCTCTGTGTGACTGTGATATGCATATCATTGTTCTACTCTACTCATCGACTTAAATAATAAATATAAGAAACGAGAGAGGGAAATAGACAGTAGAAATATCTATAATGGGGCCTCTAAGATCATCGTGCTAAAAAACTTAGATGCAATGTCATGACATGACCCTATTTTGACCAGGTTCACCTTTACTTATTTTAAAAATATAAAATAAAAATGCATATGTCCAGGACATTGATATGATATGACAAATAGTAAAGAGAATTTGGGTTGCGAGTCAGATTGGCTGTCGAGTAACTTCTCGGCTTTTACACAAGTTTTTTCATTTTAATTTTGTTATATTGACAAATTTTTTTTATAAATTTACAAATTACATTGTGTCTTGGTTGGAGAAAAGTGAAAATATGGATGGATATCTGCATGTGGGTATCTAATAAAACCACGTTTGCTTGAAGGTTTTTAGTTTTTTTTCCCGTCAAAGAGCTTTCCTAGCAAACCAAGAAGAGGATCAAAAATTGGATATCTTCGCTGTAGAGAAAGCGTTTGAAGATATGGAATTTCTCTTCAAAACTGGATAAGTGAAAAAACTGATGAATGGCATGTCAAGTTTACCCCTATTGTGGTTCAAAGGATGTAATAAAACGGTCTCATTTTTACGAGGATAGTTTTGTAATTTTATTAAGTTTTCCCATCAATATTTTATCTTCAACCAAACACACATTCAGAAATTTAATTCAATTTTTCTGGTAAAATTTTGCCCAACCAAACAACTTTTTTAAAACTTTCCTATCTAACTAACTTTTACCCCAGATCTTTAGTATTTATATTTTCCTAGTATTAAAAAATTTATCCTCAACCAAACACTACCTAAGTGATAATACTCTATTCAAGAGTATAGTAGAGTATTATCGGTCAGATATAATGTAATTTGTAAAAATTTATAAATAAAAAGTTTGTAAATATAATTTTTCCTTTTTGACTCAAGTTCGACGCATTTATGTTTTTTTTATCTTTTACTTATTTTTTTACACATTGATAGATAAATTAGGAGTTTTCTTTTATAATTTTATATGCTTTATTTTCTTAAAAATTAAAAGTATAATGAATGTAATAAAAAATTCTTTTAAAAAAAATTAAGATTGAGCAACCTATATTTACTTTTTAAAGGTCAATGTGTCTTGGACTGTTCTCCATCATATTATGGAGCGAGATTACTACGATCAAGCCAAAAATTTTATTCGTAATTTTTTTTGTTTATGTAAATTATTTATGGTTTTCATTTTATTTAGTGTTTGCTTTTATTTTATTTTAATAAATAAAGCAAATATGTAATTTTTAAAATTATCAATATTTTTCACAATTAATATAAAATAACCATTGTTCATGGATGTATTATTGGTGCGGAGAAATTAAATTTCCTTTTTATGTTTATAATTAAACTCCCGAATATTATCTCATTGTAATTTTTATAATTAAATTTAAAATTAGTGATGATTCGATAATATTATTTGTTCTTAAATAAATTTTTTTATCGTTACAATGTATGTTCCACGCAATGAATAAAAAACTACATTGTGAAATTTTACTAATTATACAAATAAATCCTTATAATTTTAAATTTTAAATTTAAGACTCTAGTTTTTTAAAAATTTGTAATTGGGTCTCTATCAAATGATAATGTTGAGACTCCGGAAAATTTTGCTTATAATAACATATTTGAAAACTCGTATAAACTACAAGGACCTATTTGACCCAAAAAAAAAAAAAACTTAATTTCATAGTCGTAATTTATATGAATTTTCAAATAGGTTCTTATAATTTTTATTCATGGTTAACGGAATCTTAATGTAATTGGCAAGTAAGAATTTACTTAGAAATTTTTCAAAGGTTTAAGGACTCATTTACATATTTTAAAACTATAGGGACTATTTAACAATTGATGAAAGGGCAATATTTTTCTCATGTTACATGAGATAACATCGTCTTATGTAGAAACATAATTAGGTGGGTCTCACAATTAAAAGAAAAAAAATGCTGACTCGAATTTCGATGTGTGTATAACATGAGATAAAAAATTTCATGTAACATGAGAAAAATATTTTCCTTGATGAAATTAAAGAAATTAATAGAATAATTTTTTTTATTGTTGGTCACTGATTGAAGAATCTCACAGCTTCTAGTTTTCTATTTTCTGAATTCCAATATAATTTTTCATAAAAACATCGAAAATAAAAACCTAAAAAAGCAATAATGATAATATACAATATTTCAGAAAGAGTCATGATTGCTATTCAAAATATGAGCGACAGAAAGTAGAATGATAATACAAATTGCTTAAATATTACTATGATTTTGTTGTCAACTTATCAAAAATATTTTTTCAATATTTCAAAGTTAGTCATGCGTATAAGTTTAAAAGAATTTAATTTTAATATTTTTTGTAAAATCATAAGATTAAAACTAAATTTTGTAATAGTTATAAATAAGCTGAACAGATTATGGCTGTGCTTAAGCTTCCATAGAGTTTGTTTTATGGCGATTGCAAAAGGATGTTCTTTCATGTGTTCTAGAAGGACAAGGAGATCACGTAGCTGCAAGACATTCCAATACTCAAGTAACTATCAACCATGCATATATAGTCATAGACTCGTAATATATAAAATAGAATATTTACATGGTCCTTCATGAATGAGAGTGCTGACCCCTCCTATACATGATGGTTGTCAAAAGTAGTTCTAAGATTTTTTCTTTAATTAATAAAGGATAAGCCCAATACTTTGTGAGTTAAAATTGGATAATATATCCGGCACAAATTGAATTTAAATTAATTTTATTTATGAATTAAGCATATATAGATAGTGCTACTGCTTACTACCAGTACAATTAGAGAAAGGAGATTTCTACACTTGGCATTTTTTTTATTTTGTTCAACAAGCTCAACAATTTGGTTTCCCTATAAAAAAAGACAAAATCGTGTTTATAAATTATAGTCACAAAGACCCACCAGAATTATTTTAAAGTTATCATAAATGATTGGAGGTGAGCTTACGTGAGGCAGTGATCTGTCTAGCTACGTGCATGAATTCAACGGCATTAATTGGCAGATTCATGCACTGCACTGCACTGAAACATGACACAAGTTGTGGCCTATTTTTTTATGTGATTTTAAGATTTTTCTGTCACCTTTATTCGTTATGCACATGGTAACTCTCTCTTTTATCTTTCCAATGGTTTTCTCATATTAAAACTTCCCTTGTGTCTATCTCTTCACAGCACAATTATACAGGTAGATGAAATCAAAGGTAGATTTCAACCAATTCATGTTCCACGAGATATGCAGTTCCTCTGTCTGAGAAACACGGTTCTATGAGTTGGACTGTATCTCTTATTTAAAAAGTGAGACTAAATACATGCTAATTGTGAAAAACTAATAACTATTCCTTCTGTCATTTATTGCTTTATGACTTGATTTGCTAGACTTTCTATAGAAAAAATTGGAACCATAGCCTATGCTTGCATTGAGGCAAGTGATCTGAATGAACTTCATATATTTAAATGAATTGACAAATTCAATTCACACTATACTGGGAGCCATTTAAGTTGGGTAAATCTGTTTTCAAGCATTTGAATTTTTAATAATACTACCTATATATAAGAGGAATAGTACATTTTTCCAAATAAAAGTGCGGGTTTGTACGCAGCCATCAACATCACAACTCAATGATTGGGTGGAAGGCGTGGAACAAATATTGCAGATATTGATTGACATGCTTGTGAACTTTCTTCTTAAGTGTTTGGATTAACTTATTTTAAGTTTAGAAAAAAATATTTATTTTTAAAAGATAAAAGCATAAAAAATAAGCGAAGGTTAAAAAAAGCTACAAACTACTTATAAGTTAAAGTAAAAAAAAAAAAGTTAAAAATTGTTGGATAATTACATAAAAAATTTAACTTAACAGTACATATTTCAAAAAAATTATCTCTCTCTATCTTTATAACTCTTCAATTTAAAAAAAACACATAATTTAAGAAAAACATATAAGAGTTTAAAAAAAAGCTTCTTCTGGGAGCTTTTAGCTTTCAGCTTTTTTCCTCATTATAAAAAAAGGAGCTTTCATTATAAGAACTTTTATCAAAACCTGTTTGGCCTAACTTATATTTATACTACCTTCTAGTTAATCCAAACAGGTACTAACTAAACTCAAGCTAAGCCAACCATCATTCTCTTTCATATTTAAATTAAAATTCAGCATA